GAAAGAGTGCTTATTTCCACTAATTGAGTGATACCGTACATGTAACCTTAAAAATGTAAAGTTAAGCTGTCCTCACCTCAGCTCCGTTAGATAGTATATGCCCTTGAAACCAATAGACTATTAATATATTATGATATTTAGCTAAAGTGGACAGGTTTTGCTGCATACCTTAATGATAATGCTAGCTGGCATTGAAATGAAAGCTTAAAACACCCATTGGGTAATGCTGGCACAGAACAAAAACCAAAAACAACTTTGAGTACTTTATGAATATTATATGAAATCTCAGTTTCCCTGGGAGTAATTATTTTTGAGGAATTTACAAAGCTCTTGAAATCTTCTGTTTTATTATGGCAGTTAAAAATCTTGTTGCTTCTAGGGGTATTTTGATTCAGATAAGCTCAGTTTATTAAATTTTTGACACAGAAAAAAGTTCAGAATGTAAAGTAAGTTTAACTAAGAGGGCAAGTATTGAAGACCAGCTCTGTTTCCTTTATCCCTTTGTTGGCCATGGCTCTCAATGAGTATTTAAAAGCAGCAGAGCCCAGCTCCCTGACCTAGAATGTGCTAGGAACTGTAAGGTAGTAGAAAGAGGTACTCTCGTAGCTATCCTGACTCTACTTAATAAGTTCTAATGGGAATTATGAAGCAGATAAGCATATATCTGGAAATGAAGTATATCACAGAGGCCAGTGTGGCTCAGAATAAGTGGGCGAGTAGGCAGATCCTATAGCTAAGTTACAATTTCAGGATAAATTTCTAGTGATCCAATTTGTGTTTTAGGCGATAATAGGAAATTATTGATATAGATATTTTGCTTCACTACTCTAAAAGATCAACTCTAGATTTTGTAGGAATGCCAAAAAATAAATGAAAAATAAACATGAGCCTCCAGTATTTGGTCTTCAAATAATTACTTGAGCATATTAATTATATGATTATAGTGGAGACTGAATGATTTAGACTGCGTAACAACCGTTGTTGCTAATTTGAATCTAATACAAATCATAAAACACTCTGTGAAAATGATTTTTTCCATTTAATTTGTTTCAGTGACTTTTTTATTTCTGTTTAATTTTAAATTGCAAATGCTTTGTGATACAAACTATATTTATAGCTTACATTCTCCACAGTGTTGGTAAAGTACCATGGACACACTTGTACAACAAATATTTACCAGCTGTTAAGAGTTCCTTACCAAAGGCTCAGGGCCCCTCTGGCACAAATCACTGTACAGTTGTTGTCTTTGGCAGAAAGCTGATGATGAAAATCTTGGCTAGAATTCTTTTGCCTAAACAAGGCAAACATGCATAGTGTTGAATTATTGAACCCTTTTTTTATTTGACAACTGAGATTTTGCCTTTTCTAAATTTTAATAATTTATATGGTATTTATGTGCTCACCAGAGGTCAACTAAAGCTCTTAGCTTATTAGATACTCCAAATATGATAGAGTGCTTATTTAACTTTCATTTATATCTCTATTCGTCTTTATTAATTTTTCATTTTTCCCTGTTCTTCCTTTTATAAGGTGAATATGTTATTTTTTCCTTAAACTCAAAGAAAAGTTCTATTTTATGAAGCACTAATTCACCTTTTGATCTTATAAACAGTTCTATTTGGGGGATTCCTTACTCCTACAAGAGAAGAAAATTATGACTTATAAAGATATAAAATAGGACAAAGAAACTCTTGCTGTGAATAAAATAATAGTGAACGTTTATTAATAAGGCTAATGCCCTCCTCTCCTATTGACATTTCTCATCTTTTAAAGAGGTATTTTAGTACTTTATAAAACTCAATAGACTTTTTTCTACCTTTCACCCCTGATTTAAGTATGTAAGCATTCATAGGATATCCTTTATTGCTTAATTTTCTATAAACCTTTCCAATAGTATTTCTGAACATTCTCCAGTACTTCTTGGTACTTCTGCATCTTAAGAACTTATCCATGTAAATTAATAGTATAGCTGTCAAGTATCTACCTTATTTTCTTTGTTTACATTTTTAAATAAAAAAGAGATCATTTATTATACTTAAACAGCATTTAAGATCTGTGAAGTGCATATTATTTTATAGGTATAGACCTAACATTGTTGTACTTACATGAAAAAGAAATAAGAATTATCTTTAAAAAGCAAAGGTTTTTTTCTCCCAGTTTGAAATATTATGATCATACAAATAAAACTTTTTCCAGGAATTTCTGCCTACTAAACAAGAAAACGAAAAATCCCTTTCAGAAAACATGGATGCATTTGAAAAAGTGAGAACAAAATTAGAAACACAGCCACAAGAAGAATATGAAATCATCAATGCAGAGGTAGGATATCTTATTACTTTTTTTTCAAATCTGATATTACTAGTCAGAATGTAAATGAAATACCTTGTAATTTATAGACATAATCCCACATCAAAATTAGACTGCTTCTGGCCTTTAAAATACGCTAAAAAACTTAAAGAACAAAGAATAGCAGAGTCTAATCCTTAAAATAAATTATGAAGATCAAAACCAAGATGAATTTTCAAGTATATTCTGTTAATTCTGGTTTTTGGAAACAGCCAATTCTGTTTGAAATTTTTAAAAATAATTCCCAAGGACAAGTTTAAATGAAACATTCATGTTTCTTTATTATTTGTAAAGTCTTTGATTGCTCTATCTATACTTTTTTATATAAAAAGAAATTAACTTAAGTAGCGTAATATCATAAAAGCTAAGTATTTCTTTGACTATTCTGTGGTTACCACAGTCATAAATATTCAATTGAAACAGATTGAACATGAATGTTAAAAATTTTTCAGTTAAATTGGAAAACAGAACCACAGTTTATAAAGGAAAATCGCATAAAGTGGAAATAACAATAGGTTAAGAGACAGAAATTCAAGATTCAAATTATGCCACTATCAAGTAATAAATATGTCTTAAGCTACATGAAATCTTGTCAATCAGTCAGTTGCATTTAATTATGCAGGTGTTAGACAAGAGCATTATTCACATATTGGTAACACCCGTTCTCTCAATTTTAAATTGTCTATATCCATCACCCCACAGAGGATGTGATGCTCTGTGTGAAATCAAATCAGGACCATGAACAGCTGGTGGTGACAGCATATTTTAGAGGAAAGAATCGCAAAGTTATTGACTGGGTTTTCAGCCCAGTCTGAGCCAAAGTTTCTCCGTCTGCATAATTTTAGGTTATCTTAAAGATGCCACTTGAGGACGTGGTTCCATAGTGTAGCGGTTAGCACGTCTGCTTTACACGCATAAGGTCCTGGGTTTGCGCTCCAGTGGAGCCACAGTCCATGGTCTGCGGCCTGGTTAATACTTGGATGGGAGACCACCTAGGAAGACCAGGTGCTGTAGGCATAAATAATAATAATAAATAATAAAAATTTTAAAAAGATGTCACTTGATCTCTGTTAATTGAATCCCACTGTAGAGATGTCACATGTTCCCAAAATATAGCTCAAGTGCTCTGTAGAGTCATGAGAACCAATATAGATTTCATTATGTGTTCTCTTTGTTGCCTCTTACATTTATGTATAAGAAACTCTTTCAGTGATTGTGAACATATGAAAACCAGTTCTTAACCACTACATTGTAAAAACTGATCCTTAAGTGTTCATTCATAGACTTCAACAGGTCTGCTTTTTAGAAAGATCTCATTTTTTCATCTTGGCTAGTCAGACCATTAAACAGTTAATTAAATCATGTTTAATTTATTAAATAAATTATTTTATTATTAATAAACCATTTGATTCTTTTCATTGTCAGGTTAAACATGGTGGTTTTGTTTATTATCAAGAAGGTTGCTGCTTGGTTCGTTCCAAAGATGAAGAAGGTATTCCACAGTTTTTCCTTTTAACATACTGTGATTTTTCAGATTTCACGTTTTTCAAAGGAAATTCGAAATTAAATTCTCAAGGATATAGAAAAAAGTCTTTAGATTATTTCTGAATTTTCTTTTTTAATGACTAGTTTTTAAGATCTGGGTTTGGTTAAGATATAGTTAACAGCTACACTGAAAAGCTTTGACAGGGAGACTAGAGATGAGAACCAGCATTTTTTGAGCATCTGCTATATCCTAGGTACTGTGCTAGGTACCTTTTTTACATAGATTATCCAGTGTCATTTACATTGTCTTACTTTCTAGGTTCTATGTGAGCTATAAATACTAGACTATCACTGTATCGAATAATATCACATAGGTTGATGCATAGTATAATATTGAATAGCATAGGATAATATTAAATAACTAATTCTAGTTTCTATGTAAATTAAGCTACCATCAATGCTGAAGGAAGCCAGAATATAGCTTCTTATAGAAGAGGAATGCTAATTTAAAACTCTGAAATACAGTTTAAAAATTTTTTAAGTACATCTTGTGGCATTATCTGTTTCATCCTTTTCTTTATGCAGCAGACAGTGATAATTATGAAGTTTTGTTCAATTTGGAGGAACTTAAATTAGACCAGCCCTTCATTGATAGTATCAGAGTTGCTCCTGATGAAAAATATGTAGCCGCCAAGATAAGAACAGAAGATTCTGAAGCATCTACCTGTATAGTTGTGAAGCTCAGTGATCAGCCTCTATTGGAAGCTTCTTTTCCAAATGTGTCCAGTTTTGGTAAGCCACCAACCAAAACAGTCTTCTATGTTGAAAAATCAACAGTAAGAGAATTGTTTACACTTGTGATACATTTTTTTTGCCCACGTATGTGAATGAAAAGGTAAGTGAGTGCCTGATCAGTTTATCCCTATGGATTCCAAACCTTCCTATGTGCCTCTTATTCAGGAGACCTTCCCTTCTTTAATTATATACATCCAACCAATAGGAAGTTGCCCAAGATCACTACTGAGAGCAACCTCGGAACATGTTGAACTTATTCATCAATAGAAATTGTGATATTTTTACTAATAGAACTAACTTTAAATTTTACCATTTATCATTGAGTAATACATATGTTCATACTCTATCCTCCTTTTTCATTTTCTGACATAAATTTTCCCATTTTTTAATAACTCAATGCTTATGGAATTAATTGAAATTATACTCTAATTGATTCTAAGACATACGTTTTGTACTTTTTAACCTCTGTAAATTTAGGATGCATATTATATAATAATGTCTTACGGTCATTGTCAGCCTGGTGGCAGTCATGATGTAATTGTGTGAAAACCTCCAATGACGGCCCAGGTAAGATCAAGAAAACACCAGCATAAAACTATGCTTGGTAGTTTAAGACATCCTGTGGCTTGAAGGCAGATAGAAAACATTTAGGCATGAGGAAAATGATCCATGATTTGTTCTGATTTAAAGTTAGAGGTTGTGGATTTAAACATAAATCATCCTCTGAAAGCAAATACTGACTTTTCCAAAATCCTTCCTAAATATTGAACATTCAGCTCCTGTTTAGAAACTTGAAAGCCCTAAGATTGATGGTAAACACTTGAAAACTTAGAATCAATGTAGTGTAGTATTTTATTCTCTGTATATAGTTTAAATACAGTCAAAACTATGTTAGATTTAGATTTCCAGGGATAAACTTGCACATCTCTTCTCTTTGGCACTCAAAATTTGAATGCACTGTGCCTTTTTTTTTTTTAACTGTAAGTGGGTGTCTATATATAATTCTTTAATTATTTTTTTCAGAATGGGTAAAGGATGAAGAAGAGGAAGATGTTTTATTCTACACCTTCCAGAGGAACCTTCGCTGTCATGATGTATATCGAGCCACTTTTGGTGAAAACAAACGTAATGAACGTTTTTACACAGAAAAAGACCCAAGGTACTAGAATAATGCAATTAAATATTTTTCTCCAGAGTATTTCTCCTGTTATCTAAAGTATTGCTCTTGGCTGACTTAAAATGTTGATTTGGGCTAGAGCAGATATAATAAAGCTAAGATGAGCATTATGATTCTTTTATAAGTTGTTTAGATTCCAAATTGGAGTCTAGTTACATTCAAACTCCAGAGTGAACACAGATGAATCATTAGACTGCAAATGCTGAGTTACTAACATTCTCTCTGAACTATGACACATGAGAGGAATTGTTAATTAAACATTTAATAGGGTTGTCATAGCAAATATAAATCTAAGTCATAACCCTAGATACCATGGTGTCAGTTGTACAGAATTCACTGCTCATTTCATATAGATTATCTAATTTTAAATTGCTTTTTGAGCCATGATGGTCATTGATCTTTAAATTTACTTTTCCAAGCACTTTGATAATTCCTCCTTAGAGCTAATTCTCTTTACTTCCTTGTAATCTCCAGGACTCATGCCTTATATTACCACTTAACCAAGCTTCGAAGGAAATGATAGTAAGTTTATCTGGCAAAATCTCTTAACTCTTATCCAGATACACTTTTCCAAATGATTTACGAGAAACAAATTTTTTCTTAACGCAAAGTCCTGTCATGTCATTCATCATTTAACACTATAGTTTAGACAGTATCTCAACAGATATTGCTGGGGGAAAAAATAAGATTTAACACCATATAAATCTATAGCAGCAAAGTCGATACTCAAAACAAGAAAATTAACCCTTCATTTCGTAAAATCCCAGAGCTGACAAGGACCTTAAAGAAAATCTTATACAACCCCCAGTTTATATTAATAATTTGAGGTCTGGAGAAATTACATTATTCTAGCCCACAGAGCTAATGTTCTTGGTCCAGTAATACAGCCATTGCTTTTTTCCTAGTGATGATTATTGTAGTGAGAAATTACCAAATCTGTTCACATGATTCACTGTTTTATGTTAAGCCAGCAATTTAGTATGTTGTATCAATGACTTATGATTATGAATCATTTTCCATCTGGTGCATAAAGCTCAAAATTGAAAAAACAAAACAAAAAAGTTCAAAACTGTCCCAGTGAGCTATACCCTTGAATAAGATAACTTGCTTGCCATATACTGTTACTGTCCAAAGTTCTAAGATTGAGTTATCATACATACATTTAAGATTCTTGGAAAGTATTTGGCATCTAGCATACTTTTTCTTCCCCATAAGGAATGGATGGACCATATTGTTTTCCTATTTCATTTATTTCAAGGTACTTTCTGTTGTCGTTTTGATTTCTTTTGACCCATTGGTTGTTTAGGAGTGTATTGTTTAATTTCCATATATTTGTGAATTTCCAGTTTTCCTGTTTTTAAGACTTGTTTTGCAACCTAATATGTGATCTATCATGGAGAATATTCCATATGCACTTGAGAAGAATATGTTCTGCTGCTGTTGAATGGAATGTTCTATATATGTCCTTTTGTTAGTTTTATTTGTTCTAAAGTATAGTTCAAGTCCCATGTTCCTTATTGAATTTCTGCCTGGATGATCTACCCATTGTTGGAAGTAGAGTATTGAAGTTCCCTACTATTATTGTATTGTCTACTTTTCCCTTCAGATCTGTTAGTATTTATTTGCCTTATATATTTTGAGTGTTCTAATGTTGAGTGCATATATATTTATCATGATCATATCCTCTTGAATTAACCCCATTATTATGTAATGGCCTTTTTTTATCTCTTGTTACAGCTTTTGAGTTAAGATCTATTTTGTCTTATATAAGTATACCTACCCCTGCTCTCTTGGTTCCCACTTGCATGGAATGCCTTTTTTCAACCCTTCACTTTGAGCCTATGTGTGTCCTTGAAGCTAAAGTGAGTCTTATAAGCAGCATGTAGTTGGTCTTGTTTTTTGTTGTTGTTTTTGTTTGGTTTTTTTTTATCAAATCAGCCACTCTGTGCCTTTTGATTGGAGAATTTAATCATTTTACATTTAGAGTAATATTTGATAGGTAAGGACTCACTAATACTATCTTATGAATGTTCTCTGGCTGTTTTGTGGTTCCCATGTTCCTTTCTTTCTGTGTTCTTTTGTGAATTGATGATTTTCCATAGTGATATGGTTTGATTCCCTTCCCTTTATGTTTTGTATATCTACTGTAGGTATTTGCTTTGTGGTTACCATGACTTCTTTTTCTAAGAAATCTATCACTATAGAGCCACTTGTGTTCTCACTTTCCTATAGCCATATATCTGCCAAATAATTGACCAAGTAATTTATCTTTTGATTACCTGTTTCATCATCAAACCAAAATAAATAAAAACAGCAAAGGAAGTGTTAAAAATAAAGAGCAAAGTAGGGTAGGGGACTTTCACTACAACCGTATATGAAAACAAATGAAGCTACAGTTAAAGTAATACAAACTGACAGACACATTAGTAGAGACGAGAATACACCTTAGTATGTATAAAAACTTACTATATGGTAAAAGATGCCTGACAAACTAATGAACAGTAAATGGGTGTTATTTATTTTTTAATGCTATGAGAAGTACTAACTATTTGGACAAAAATAATTTTCATCACTTCATATGTCAGCATTCATTCCTAAAAGATTTAAAGAATCTTTTAATAAAAATAAAACCATCAAAAAAAAATTAGATGATAATATAAGTATTTCACTCAACTTGGTTGAAATATTTCCAGAGCATAAAATCAATAGAAGAAATTACAAAGGGTGGTTAGTGCCAGTATTCTTGATTACCTAAAATATTAAACATTAAGTCAGAAATCATTGTAAACAAACTTAAATCCAGATGACAAAATGGGGGAAGGTATTTTCAACAAAAAGACTAGTTGATATCCTTAATTTACAAAGAAATGTTTATAGACCAGTAATATAAAGTACATCACCAAGTTTAAAATGGACACAGACACATCAGAGAAGAAATAAAATTGACAAACATGGCACTATTATCCAATACAGAAGGAATTTTACCAAAATGTTAGCCATGCTTATCGCTGGATAGTAGGATTCCTTCTTTGTAGTTTTTTTAGTATAAACTAATTTGTTATAAGAAGACATGTAAATAATATTTAAAGCCATCCATTGTGTCAGTGTGAATTAGTACAATGCTCTTAAGATATTATTTGATTATATTTATCAAGAATCATAAAAATAATCATTAAATTATTATTTCCATTCCTAAGAATTTATCCAAAGGAAATAATTATAAAGATGAGGGAAAAACTATCTTCATGAATATAAAATGAAACATTAAAATATAAAATTTTAAGAATTATGATCATTTTAACCTGATAGAATATTAGGTAGCTATTAAAAATCATGATCATAAAGACTGTGTAACTAATATGAGGGGAGATATTGTTATAATCTGAAGGAAAATATGTAGAATCCAGAATTGCATCTGCATTTGAATTACATCTATTTTAAGACATGCATGAAATACAAATAAACCTTAGAAGAAAAAAATAGAAAAATTAAAATTATGTTAATTGTTTAAATGTTAAGTTAGTAAGATTATGAGGGTTTTTCTTCCTGACTATTGTTGTTTTGTTGTAAAAACTAGGAGAAAAGAAAAAAAGGAAATTCAACATGCATACAGAGGGAAAACAAAGTAAATTCCTGTGTCCCTTTTCTTCCATACAATTATGCATCTCCTCTAGGGAATTTATTTCCACTTCTTAGGGAAATCCCTATAATCTGTTAATGTGATTGAGAATTAGATGATGTCTGTACTTGACCTTGAAATGCATTCAAAAAAAGATAGATTGATGATGCATAGATATGTGATAAAGAATATGTAGCAAAATGTTAGTAATGATTGAATCTCAGTGATGAGTATATGGGTATTTATCTTACATTTGTTTCAACTCTTCTGCATGTTTGAAAAATGTCCGTAATAAAAGGTTAGAGAAAAAGTACTTAGAATTTTTTTTTTGGTGGGGGGAGGGGAATGAGAAAAATAATAGTATTTTAGTTTACTAGCAAAATTTACTAGGGAGTTTTTATTTTCTGTCTGCATTATAAATTAACATACATACTGACCATCTGTGAGATATTGTCATTAACAAAGTAGCATGCATTTGAAATTTATTGGATTTTCATCTCTCTTTCTCTCACTGTGTATGTGTGTTTGTGTAGCTATTTTGTTTTCCTTTATCTTACAAAAGACAGTCGTTTCCTCACCATAAATATCATGAACAAGACTACTTCTGAAGTGTGGTTGATAGATGGCCTAAGCCCTTGGGATCCACCAGTACTTATCCAGAAGCGAATACATGGGGTTCTTTACTACGTTGAACACAGAGATGATGAATTGTACATTCTCACTAATGTTGGCGAGCCTACAGAATTCAAGGTGATCCTGTATTCTCCTTATCCCCATTTGGGCTGTTAAGTGTCACACTTCCATCAGCAACATTTTTTGCTCTAAGAGTTCATTGTTTTGTAGGCTTTTGGTAAAGTGTAGAAATTGATGGTATACCTTCCTATGCATAACCAATCGCATTTCTCTTCCCTTAGAGCTAATACCTCTATTTTAAATGAAACACTCTATCCTGATTATATCAGTTATCAAAGCCAAACTTAGTTACTTAAAAAACTTTTATAACTTTGTGATTTTGTGAGTTAGCAATTTGTATTGCTTTCAGCTAAGCACTTCTTCTACTAGTCTGAACAAGGCTCCCTGATGCTTCCACAGTCAGCTGGCTGTGAGTGCCCTCACTCAAGTGTCCTTTGGTTGGCTGTAGACTAAGCACTGGGCCTCCTAGCAGGGTGGCCTGGGCTTGTTCATATGATGATGGTCACACTTCAGCCCTGACAGAGTTAGTTCCATCAGCTCTTCATAAAACAGTGAAGAATGACATGGTCTCATTTTCAGTGTTTTCATCTCTGGAGTTTGTGGTCATCATGTTCTGTTACCTAGATCTCTTCTAACTTTGTTCCACACAGCTAATGAGAACAGCAGCTGATACACCTGCTATTATGAATTGGGATTTATTTTTCACAATGAAGAGAAATACCAAAGTTGTAGACTTGGACATGTTTAAGGATCACTGTGTTCTATTCCTGAAGCACAGCAATCTGCTTTATGTTAATGTGATTGGTCTGGCTGATGATTCAGTTCGGTCTCTAAAGGTATGTTTAATTATCAAAAGATAATACTGTTAATCAAAATACATGCAGTTTAGCTTAACCAGAACATCAAATATTGAATAATAGCCATGTACTTTTTCTTAAAAGGAATTTAATTTAAATGGAATTTAGCATAGTGGGTCTAGAAGGTAAGGTGTATTTTTAAATTACTTAGAGGACCTTGCTTTTAATGCAGGTTTTCTTAAAATATTGTCTTTATAGCGTGAACTTTAGAAGTAAAGTGCCATTATGTCTCTTTCTATATATCTCTATATATCACATATTTCTACAACTTTAGATATAGCAATAATTCAGGCGAACTTGGCAACTAGTGCCCAACCACTGCCCATCGCTCCCGTCCCATACCCACAGTAGGGATACTAGTCATGCCCCACTATATTTCTGCCACTGCATGCTTGTATGTGCATCATCTCTTTGCCAGTTTTCTCACCCATTGGGGATCAGGAAGGGTGAACTTTGGTTTCTGTCAATAAGGAGGCAGCAGTGGTCTCCACTGCAACACAGCTGTGATGGAGGCACATCTGCCTGGCAGGCTGACTCACTGATATTGCCTGTGGTTGCCAGGAAAGATAATCTGCCTCTACAAGTGAACTTGCAACAGCACCCTTATCGCCCAGTTTTAAAGCAGCATTAACATGTGAATTCAGATAACAGGCACTGAAGGGAAGAGGAGAGGCCTCCATTTAGCGTAATATGGAAAGATTCGTGGAGCCAATTGACCAGCTAACATAGACCACTTAGTACCTCCCTAACTCCAGTATTATCACAATTTCTGTAAAATGCAATTCCAGAAAATTCACTGGATAATTATTGAACTGCTATGTGCCGAGTACTGTTTTGGGCAGCCAGAAGTGGAAAGACAGCAGGACAAAATCTCTGGCCTTAAGGAGGAGGATACAGTTTATCACGAGATTAGACTAGTACACAAAAATTAAATATGAAGTATATCTAAATAAGTAGTAGTAAGAATAAATGTGATACAAAATCACTATTAGGATACCACAGTAATCGTTGTTATAGGCAAGATCCACCAATGGATGCTAAAATTAGTAGGTATAAGTGTAAGGATAAATAGGTTATTTTCCTAGTCTTCACAAAAGGACTAGTATCGCCCACAAAATATTAATTACTTACAAGAAGAAAAATAGTCACTTTACAGTGAAAAACCTGGCAAGAGTTCAAGGTTGACATCACTAGTAATAGGATCTGTTAACATGTACTCTTGACTCTGATATTCTTGCTAAAATGTATAACCTCAGTTTGTGAAGAAACATCAGACAAATCCAGATAGAAAGACATTCCACCAAATAATTGCCCCGTATTCAAAATGACCTCGAGGTCCTAAAAGTCCAGGAAAGACTGTTGAACTTTTAGATTGGAGGAGTAGAAGATATGACAGCTAAATGCAGTGTGGAATCCTAGACTGGATCCCAGGACAGAAAAAGGACATTAATGGAAATGTATATAGGTGAAATACGAATAAAGGCTGTAGTTAATAGTAATAATAAAATAAATAAGTCGTATCAAAAACACAAAATGTGTCATGGGACCCAAAGCAGAAGAGAGGGCCCAGGAAAGCTTTTATAGGGGCAGTAGAATTTCAGATAAACCAAAGAGAATAGATAGGGTTTTGATGAGTATCGAGGAGAATGGTATTCTAGGATGAGAAAGTCTATCAAATGAAGCTCTAAGCTAGAGAAGTTCAGAAAATGTTCAGGAAACTGCTAGTAATTCCATTTTATTGAAGCAGAATAAATTTCTGGGAGACGAAGCTATGATTTGCCGTTCTTTGTCAAGTTGATGAACTTATGCATAAATTATGAAGAGGGGAACATTTGAAATTTAGAGGAAGGGGAATGATTTGAGGACTCAAGTAATACTTCATGAGGCTACCTGACAGCCTGTTAGGGTCCACTGAAGCAACAAAAGTTAAGGGGCAGGGAAATTAGTTTTGAGATTGTTATAGTGGTATAAGTAAGAAATAACAAAGACCTAAAACAACCAAAATTTTCCAGCTACATCATAAAATCAAGTTATCGAATGTAATGTCTGCTGTTTCAGAAGACTGTCTAAGTGTCCTAAAACAAAATTGGTGATTTTACTTTAGCGATTTTCTTATTGCTTTCACCTACTGGATTCAAAGTGTCTTTTCACTTCCTCATTTGTGAAATTCAGATATCTTTAATTGGGAAACTGACAGAACATCTATTCTTATTGTGGTCTATAGGAATAGAGATGGGATGCATTTATTACAACAGAATTTAAGACAATTAGGACTTCATGAGTTTCTTATGCTATAAGATTTGACTTTCTAAGTAAATATGACTTTTTTTTGTAAGAATTCCATTTTTAAAGATATGCCCCAGTTTCCATGATTTTAACTTTTATTAAAACAAACATCACGTCATTCTATATCCTTTATGTCTTTATTCCCCCACCCTTTCCAACCTGTAGTATTTATTATGCTTTCCATAACTAAGTCATCGTTACATGGAGTGAGATACTCTGTTACATACCAAGTGCTACTGAAAGAGAATTTTACAGATCAGAGCCTTTTCATGAACCATACAGACTAATATGCATAGACAATGCCATACACAAAGGACAAAATTTTTAAGCCAAACTATAAATGGATTATAAAGTATTTCTGTTGTAACGTCTCTGCCCAGCAGGCACTTGACTGAAAGATCTTTTTAAACTCAATCTCAGCAATAGAAATGTAATATTTGCCTCCTATCATTGGTTCATGTCATCAGTATTTCCTGGTAATATTTTTTCTCTACAAAAAGAAGTTATGATAGTTTAATTGATGACAACATTTAATTTAAGGTAACTGGGAAATTTTTTGCTTTGTGCTATTATGAGTTTATTTGGAAGAGTCTGCATACTTGGGCCGATTGTCTTTCAGCATCTCATCTTCATTCTTTAAATGAAATGACTGTGATTTGCTGGTAGAATACTGAACCCGTTCTGTCAAGTATCTAAGAAATATCTGCATATCACCAGGCCAACTTACAATTATTCTTGCATTCTCTCCATTAACATACATGCAGGCTTATCTCTAAGAAAGGTGACTTAAGATATTCTTAATATTTATTTCTGCATCAGCTAAACAAACTTTAAATAAAGTCTATAGCCTTGGAACAGTTTTTGTTATGATTAAAACTTTAACCATGGCCCCAATAGTTTAAGGAATACACCCAAAAGACTTTTTGATTTATTGTAATCCCCTTGGTCTAAAACTAAAACAGCTTACTATGTGGGTCACATGGAAATTGCTTTAAAGTCTCACAAAATGGCAGAAAAATTTGCACGTCTGTGGGCAGAGGAGCCCAGTAGCCTCAGTCCGAGGCCTGGTTACAAGGTTAGCGATGTTTCTTTGTTTCCCACTGAGGTCTCAATTCGTTCACTTCAGTTATGCTACCAGATTTCCCAACGTTCACGATTACATTTTTCTTTCCAGTTATGGCTTGCATTTAAACAAATTATCCTTGAGAATAAGCCTCAGTCCGAGGAGAATAAATTAGGAGCTCTTTTAAAGAAACACTGCAAATGAATGTCCTTATTAGTGTTTCAGGCCAATAGACTCTTTGGATTAATTACAAGAAATTTGCTCTGTGAACGTAAGCTCTTTGGCTGTAGTTTCTACAGGTTAAACTGTGCACACTCTATGCTCCCATACCCCACCTACCCTTTCTGAATAGTGCCACCGGTGACTTTGCTGTGCCAAGACCTCTGATTTTCTAAGGAATTTGCTCTTTCTACAATTACTTAGGAAAAGAAAGGCAATTTTCTTTTAATGTTCTGACTCTCAGTACTATTTCTAACACACTGTCAGCCTGCTTACGAGTTCTTTAAAAGGTGTAAGAAGGATGTTAGTGGAAGGCTGGAAGCTGGACCCTGCTGCTCTGAGAGAATAAATTTTGATTCCTTTCCTTTTTTCTAAAAGTTAAGAATCTTAATCATAATAGCTCTGAGTCTCTCAGAGTGGATGTGCTGGGCAAGGTTTTGTTCTGCACAATGGTTAGCCTGGGAGCTAAAGTTAGAAACAAATTGTAAATGCTTTAGTGCTGCTGAGCCAGTTTGTAGCCCTGGAATAATAACTGCCATCACTGTAGCTGTCCAGGCAGCAGAGTATGGGCTGGTGGGTAAATTATTAAAACACATGTCAGAGATTTCATGTTCTATAAGAACAGAGATCTTAGAGATGTCACTCACTTCTGGAATTACTATTTGATTTGCTCTTATTCTTAACCATGTTGCTATTATTTTATGGCCCAAGTTTAGACCGCAAAAGAAACTTTTTATTAAAGGAGATTTAATGTAAATCCAGAATCATGATAAACCATTTTCCTATAACTTTTTCTCATTTTATTGGTCATTGGTGTAGTTTTGTTTGTTTATTACTTGAAGTATATTTTGTCATACTGAAGTAATCCTTAAATGAAGCATTTTGTGGTAATAAAGTTGATGTCCACATCATCTTCTTTGGAACAGACCCAGAAACTTAATTCATGATACTTAGTGTCCAGATAAAGAGTAAAACTAACTGTTTTATTTCTTTAGCTCCCTCCTTGGGCCTGTGGATTCATAATGGATACAAATTCAGACCCAAAGAACTGTCCCTTTCAGCTTTGCTCTCCAATACGTCCCCCAAAATATTACACATATAAGTTTGCTGAAGGCAAACTGTTTGAAGAAACTGGACATGAAGACCCAATCACAAAGACTAGTCGTGTTTTACGTCTAGAAGCCAAAAGCAAGGTAAGTCTGTAATCTCCACTATCAGCCGCATTTATTGATAGCATACTATTTGTCAAGTATTGTGTAGTTGCTGGTATTACATTAGCACAATATCGTAAAGTGGATCTCACATACCACAGTAAGACCCAGATGATTTTAGGGGATACATGGATTTGTTTAAACTTTAATACTCATGTATTTATTTTAACATGGACTAGAAAATTTATAACTAACCCTTGATTTCACCTGTATTTTATACTTAAACTTTAAAAGTTGATATGCAGTTATGGCAACAAAGGTGATAAGCAGTCGACTACAGTGAACTAGATTGATAAAGTCCCTGCTCTCATGGACCTTAAATCTAGCAGAGAAGATGACAGGTGAAGAATTAGTAACTGATTGCTATACAGTGGAAACAGCAAAGGGTCCTTACCAGGTCTGGAGAGAAGTAGTGTCTCAGGGGAGGCCTTAATGATGCTAAAGAGTTAAGCTAGAAACGGGGCAGGAAGATTCCATTTTGTGCAGAGACCCTGAATTGAGGAGGAAATGGTACATTGAGAAAGTATAAAGGAGGACAATGTAGCCAAAGTATAGAGTAAAAGAGGAAAGATTGGCCAGGGGGAAGGGGTGGCAGAGGTTGTAGGGAGTAGAAAAAAATTGTGTGAGTGAGGAACAAATTAATCTATAAACTGGCCTTGAAATTAAGGAATTTTCAGCCCTTAAATATTATACATCAGGTAGTTTCATGTGCTAACAAAGAGTGAATTGACACAAGCCTTTTTTTCTTATGAATTTTTTCTGTAGTTTTATTAAATATTTAATATTTAAAAAGGAGTACATGCTTGATAGAACAAATGCAAAAACACAGAAGGTATGAAGTTTGAATGGCTACTTTTCAGTCTCATTTGCTGTACCTCGTAGAAGAAAATTATCGTTAACCATTTAGTGTATCCCCTTCCAGATTTTTGTGTTTTGTCAACAAAATATATATGCGTAGGCTTTGTTTTGTGTTGCAAACATGGGATTTATATTGATCTGTCAAAATGTTGTCATTATACCCCAAATGGAAAGATCAGTGAAGCTTAGTTCTTGGAGAGCCAAGGGATTTTTTGCACATTAGAGGAGCAGGAAGCACCTGCTGATGGGAGCTGTTGTAACTTGCGGCACTTGTGCACTGCTGGTGAATTCTGTGACCCCGCCACCGCGGGGCGGCAACCGTCCTCACCTCTTCCTTTTCAGAGGTGTTTAACCAGCAAGTATTTCTGTGCTTGTTATATTGAAGTTGGAGAGGAGGCCAGGAGATGAAAAGACCAAGGTTATCTTATAGAAATTAATCTATATCATTTTATAAGAATGAATCGTACTGAGAAGTGAAAATTCAGTTACACTGTCATAACAAGTTATGTAAAGAATAATGAGAGGAAGAGTCCCTCCTTATTAGAGTGAAGTTTTCAACATGAGAATAAAAAAAAAAATAGGGAGAGTGGCTTGGTTAAATTCTTTTCCTTATGTAAAACAGTGCTATTTCATTTTTTTCTTTAAGCGGAGTAAGAACCAACTTTCCTACCCTTTTTCTGTGAAAGAATTCAGATTAATTTTGTCTGTCCAGAGTGTGCCTCTTTTCAGTCATTTGGGATTGACAAATGTGAATTACATTGGGGAGCAGTTACCTGCCCTGCAAGTAATTTACGTGTTAAAATTTATAAAATTTACTTTTAAACATTTTTAAAATAAAGTTAAATGAGCCTTTGAAGAAGACGTGAGTGGATATCAGTAAGGTCAGTATGAGAATTCAGGTACTAATAGTTGAGAATTCTGACTATAGAGGACAGAATATTGAGCTGCTAAAACTTCTTTAAAAAAACAAAAACAAAAACTTCTTTGGTTAACATATTTGTAAATATTTAGAGATAAGAAATGCCAGTAATGTAGCTCAAGTATAGGAAGAATGCTATGCTAGTATGTCTAACCTTAATAGGTATTTGGGCTCGTCCTGAAAGAAAAGAATTTACAGTAAAACCAGGTAGTGAAGAACTCTTTAATTATAGTAGGTCAGCAAAGTAACTGAAAATAAGTACCATGATGGATTTTTAGAGACCATAACTCTTTGTCTTAAATGAAGTTTCTGCTCAACATCAATAAGCAGCACATAAAATTGGGGATAAAATTGTTTTAAAAGACTCTTTACATGCATAGTAAATCTTCATTTCCAGGATGGAAAATTAGTGCCAATGACCGTTTTCCACAAAACGGATTCTGAGGACTTGCAGAAGAAACCTCTCCTGGTACATGTGTATGGAGCTTATGGCATGGATTTGAAAATGAATTTCAGGCCTGAAAGGCGGGTGTTGGTGGATGATGGATGGATATTAGCATATTGCCATGTTCGGTGAGTCAGCACATTTTACCAAATGAGTGCTGGAGCACTGTGACAGGTGTCCAGAATAACAGTATATCAGGGAGCAGAAGTTTATCTTTTTATTTGTATTGTTGAATTTAGGTATTCCTAAACCTGTGCTGGCTAAATGATTTGCTAACATTAGTTGATCCAAAAGCAAAAGGGTAGATTTTTAGGAGTTTTAGAATAGTGCCAATCTCTTTACTTATTAACATTATTATTTCCATTTCATTCTCCTGAGTTTAGGTTTTTCTAAAATAGCCTCTTAAGCTAGACTCTTTCTTTCTACTCTAATTTCTATTTTACTTTAGCAGTTTTCAAGAAGTAAACATGATTCAATTTCTACTTAAAATCCTCTACCACTTCCCTATTTCCACAGTAAAATCCAGATTTCTCAGTATTGTATTTAACATCCTAATGATCTGACTTATATCTGTAACGGCATCTATCATTGCTTCCCAAACACCTCCTGCGCTCCAGCCATACACATCCTTCACGTCCAGCCTAGCTACATCTTTTCAGTGACAAGTTCTTTTCCCTCTGTGCCCCTGTACATGCTGTGTCTTGATGCCTTCCTTTTCTTTGCCTTCTGAGCATTCATATTCTTCCTTCAAGACTCAGCTTGGGTATATCTCTATCTTAAGCATTCATGTTCCTGACTTGTATATACCCCTAACCCGAAAGGTGGATATTTTTTTCCTCTGCTTCTGTGATACCTTAATACACTTATGTTACAGTACCAGCCACATTGCTTGGTAGCTGTTTTATTTCCCCACAAAATTATAACCATCTTCAGGGCAGGGGATTTTTGCTTATTTATATGTTTTTAAGGCCTGAATTTAGCACAGTGCCTGGTAAATAGTAAGCGGGCACTCAAAACATATTTGTTGAGTAAATTTTTGATTGTCTATATCAGGTGTTGGCAAACTTTTTCTCTAAAGCAGGAGTCCCCAACCCCTGGGCCGGACCGGTAAGGGTCCATGGCCTATTAGGAACCAGGCCACACAGCAGGAGGTGAACAGCGGGCCAGCTAGCAAAGCTTCATCTATATTTGCAGCCACTCCCCAGCACTAGCATCACTGCCTCAGCTCCACCTCAGATCATCAGGCATTAGATTTTCAAAGGAGCACTGGTCCCTGGTGCCAAAAAGGTTAGGGACCGCTGCTCTAAAGAACTAAAGCTTAAGGCCACATAATGGTCTCTGCTTCATATCCTGATTGGTTTTTTTGTCTCCCAACCTTTAAAAATGTAAAAACCGTTTTTAGCTTGAAGACCATATAGAAGCAGGCCTATGGGTAGATATGGCCCATAGGCTATGGTTTGCTGACCCTGTATCATTAATATTTTTTTTCCACTGAAACTGTTTTGCCCTTTAATTTCAGGGGTGGTGGTGAATTAGGCCTCCAGTGGCATGCTGATGGCCGTCTAACTAAAAAACTCCATGGCCTTGCTGACTTAGAGGCTTGCATTAAAACACTTCATGGCCAAGGCTTTTCTCAGCCAAGTCTAACAGCCCTGACTGCTTTCAGTGCTGGAGGGGTGCTCGTGGGAGCATTGTGTAATTTTAATCCAGACCTCCTGAGAGCTGTGACTTTGGAGGTGAGTACATTGTCTCTTTACAGAATGGGGAGGAGTAAAGCCATAGGTTGCTCTAAGAATAAATTTATGTTACAGTCTTACTTCAGCATAGGAGTATAACAAAGGTTTTAAATTTTAAACACAGAATTTAGCTCTGGGAGAACTTCTTATTTTAATCCAACTACTTACCCTTTAGTCTTCCCTGACAGTGTTATTTATTGATTTTTAAGGATTTCCAGTGAAGGATATTAATTGGTATTCCTACCAATCATCTTTTATTTGTAAGAACATTTATTTGTAAGAAAAGAGACAAAGTATATACGATCATCAGTTCCATAAGTCAGGCAGAGCACGCCGACTCTGGATCACACAAAATTTTTTACTCTATTGCCCGTCAACATTTCAGTCTTGGATTTAGGGGCTCCCTATTTTTAGATACTCCATTCTTAATGGTCTTTAGGGATAGTTTTTCTGTAATTGAAATATCTTGCCCTGTTCTGAAAAGGCTCTATAGTCTTTTTACTGGTGTCCAAAATTATGAAGTTATAGCAGCTCATTTTTACCTCTATCATTCTCCTGATTCCTGGTTAGATACTTTAGAAAATATAATGACTGGAATGAACAGAGTAAATTATTTTCAATTTTTTGGGGGGAGCCTGTGGGATATACACTGTAGGTTTGTATTAAGTAAATAATTGTTAAATAATCCTGATCTGTAAATCTATTTTTTAAATAGAAATACTAAATATAGACAAAAAAAAAAACTATGCACAAAAACAATAATGGTAGAAGTATTTACAATATAAAAAATGCAACTAACCTTTAACATTCCTATGAATAGTGCACAAGAGTTTCAACATCCTTGCCAACACTTATTTTATAATAGCTATCCAAATAGGTATGCAGTAGTAGCATTTATTACTTTTATATAAAACTATATATGTATTTAATATATATGAAAAAGGCACAAAAGTTGTGAAATTAGAACATAAACACTTCCTTTTTTAAACAAATGTCATTGAAAAGGTTGAATGCCTTAAAATCCAGTTATAATTCAGAAGCCCAGGTTAAGAACTGAATAATTAGTCTGGCTCCTGGGAGCCCACATGGCTTCTTGAGCTTTGTTTTCTCATGTCAGCCTATATATAGTCATAAAGTGTATTTTTCTGAAACTCATTTTACTAACTTATAAGTCAAAGTTTAAGTTTCTTTGGCTTTTTTTTTTTTTAGGCACCTTTCTTGGATGTTCTCAACACCATGATGGACACTACACTTCCTCTAACATTAGAAGAATTAGAAGAATGGGGGAATCCTTCATCTGATGAGAAACATAAGAACTACATAAAACGTTACTGTCCCTATCAAAATATTAAACCTCAGGTAGTGAAAGTTATGGTATTACTATCCAGAAGTATTAGAGAAAATAATCAAAAGAATACTTACCTGAGCTGAGACAGGAATTCAGGAGGACTTTAGATTATTTCTACTTATAATACACAAACACCTTGCAGCACCATCTCTGCTCATATTCCATGTTTGTTTGATTAAGGTCATGGTCTCTCTAGTCAAGAAAAGGCTATTCCTGATAACAAGTAGTCTAGTACTGTGATACTATAGCTCTGTCTAGAATATCAAATAAGGAAAAAACATCGAGCACTTAGGAAAAAAATTGGAGGTAATTATTTTTCATAACCTATAAAGTGGAAGGGGACCATCAGGAATAATATAAATTCTTCGTACATTTATTTTCTTGCAGCATTACCCTTCAGTTCACATCACAGCTTATGAAAATGATGAACGTGTGCCTCTGAAAGGAATTGTAAACTATACTGAGAAACTCAAGGAAGCTATTGCAGAGCATGCTAAGAACGCCGGTGAAGGTAGGAGACCACCTGGAAGCAGGAACATAGCCTAGTGGACTGTTACCTTTAGCATACTGCTCAGAGTAATACATTTTATGTACAGACCAAATCATCTACCCATGATTTTGGATGAATTGTTTTTTCTATGTTGATTATCAATTGAAACATATAATAGTAACTCTAACTACCTTATCTCTTTTTCAAAGTACAATGTATAATAAGGTAGGCGAGGCACAAAGAAAAAAGTAAATTTAAATATAAAAATGTAAGTTGGAGCCGTACAATCATACAACCATTTGTTCATTTAACAATCTTATAATTAAGCCATTATTCTTGGGAACCTCTGAAAACCAGATTCTGAAGTTTTGCTCTGGAGCTTCAAGTGCCCAAACTAGCTACTTTAATTTTCTCTAGATCTTTCAATTTAATTAAACAAGGACTCTTACTTTTGCCAAGACATGCCAAGACCTTCCAGACTCAGGGTAGGAGGGACCCCCATACAAGTTTTCAGACCGTCACCCTGTATTCAGCTCTGTGTCTCACTCTCACCCATTGCTGTAGTTGGTATTTCCAGGTCACAAGACTCAGATCCCACAGGGCCAACTGGCTTCCTCCGAGGTTGCATCCCTCTCCACGTGGCCCTAAAGTCTCTTCCATCCAGCTTCCTCGGCCACTGGTCCTCCTGCTTTCCCTCTTTTAGAAATTTTTCTTCTACTGCTTGCCCCCTCCCATCTCTTTGTTGTCGGTGGTAGTAGTTTTGCCTTTTTTCTCCACTACTGTTGTAATATAGTACTTGAAGGAGAGAATAGAAATGGCTCTCAATTGCCCAAAACCTTCTAATTGTTTTATGTGTTAACTCTTTCAGGCTATCAGTCACCCAATATTATTTTAGACATTCAGCCTGGAGGCAATCATGTGATTGAGGATTCTCACAAAAAGGTATGTTATCAAGCTCCTCTCAGATGACAGATCCCCAAATAGAGATCTGATGTCCTCAACATTTCAGTGGTTGTGGCAGAGTTTGTGACAGCTGCTTCACAGCTGTCAGGTCATGGCTGAGACCCAAGAGGGGAAGGAAAAACACTGAGTCAGTTAAGAGAAAAGGCTCTCTTTAGTGCTCGTGAGCTCTGTTAAAGAAAGTAATTGAATCTTATTTGTTGGGAGCCTTCTACCTCTGTCCCAAATAAAAATACCTCTGCCATAAATTGCCAACTTCGGGGTTAGGTCAAGATGAATAGAAAAGACTTGAACACTGCAATTTTACTAGTAAGGCCTTCTAACTTTTTCAATGTGTTTCTTTTAGATTACAGCCCAAATTAAATTCCTGTATGAGGAACTTGGACTTGACAACACCAGTGTTTTCGAGAATCTTAAGAAATATCTAAAATTCTAAAATGCTGTATTTAATGGGAGTTGGAAACACACTGAAATATGTCATAGTCTTTTGGGTTAGCAAAAGTGAGATTTTTATTTTAAGTTACTAAATAATTTTTTTAAATTTTCTTCTCTAGTGTACATCTTGCTTACACTGTTCTCTCCTTGATGTATGTGCCCCTCAACCTAGGAGAGTAGTTTTCTAATCATGCTCCTTAGGACATGGAGGAGAGGGGTGAAGGAAGGGTTGGTGACAGCAGAACTCTTCCCTCTTCCCATCAAAACAGCGTTGTGTTTGCCTTTTTTACTGAGATCTTTTTGAACAGTTTACAAATCAGGGTCCTGCCTCCCTGCTAGTGACCATTTTTAGACACTTTGGTGGTAAATCATCCTCTAGTTTCTGTGCTTGCATTTTGTGAATAAGAACATTCTTCACATTAAAATTCATTAGGTCTTTTGAATCTGTTACGATCATCTCTATTGATGCTATCTCAGTAAAGTTACAAGTTCCTACAAGAGATAATTTCCTTTAGACATTTTTTTATTCTTTAAAAACATTTGACAACCTTTCCTAAAAGCAATGCCATTCAAGCTACAGAAATATCTAATAATTAATGACTGTTGATAAAGTTTACCCAGCAGCATGGGTGTACATGAAGTTACTGCAGATGCTTATAACAGGACAGAAAGCCAGTGTCTTCATCTCTTTTATAGAGGTGTCTAACACAAGCTGTACAGTATGTTAAATACACTGGAGTAGCATGCCCGGTTGGAAACAAAACATCTGTCTCTGAAGTCTGTTTGGAGATGAAGGAGATCCTTTGTGTTGTATTCAAGGATGAGTCCTTCTCCCTTGTCCAGTGTAATGGCGTGCGTATCAACTTCACTTCCTTTGTTGGCAGAGTTGGTACTTAACCTTATCCTCGCTCTTGTGGGAATTTTTGAAATCACTTCCTTTAGATTTAGCAGTGATGATTCTCCAAAATTCAGAATGATGAGAAAGACTCTGTCTGTGCCATCCAGCTCTCTTGTGTACACGACAGAGTGGTTTTCAGTCCTCAAATAGCAGAACCAGCCCCTGCTGAGGAGCAGCTCATTGGCATGAAGCAAACTTAATTCTTGGTATAACTTTAATGCTGATCTGGGCAGAGTCTTTTGGACCTGGTTTAAAAAAAAAAAGTATTAACATAAATGTTTGATTCTAAGTTTTTTTTTTAGTATCAAGAAATTTCCCCAAAAAACTTGATACAATTTTGCCCCTTAAAATAACTACTTCTACCAAATCGTAAGTATTAATAAGTATATAAGAATACTTTATTTAACTGCTGATAGAAATTGGCAAATGCACGATTTCTCCTTGTCCGGAAGTCACTGCCAAATGGATAGTGCTCTGCTACATCTTTGCCAGAGCTGATGTGGAGACCGAATTCGACTACACTTTAGGAATCTCAAAACAAATGTCCACGTCTAAGTTAATGGATAATTAATTTGCCTAAGTAAGTTCCTTTATGCTATATTGTAACTGGCAGAATAGCAGCCACGATGGCCCCAAACTCTGAGAACTTCTGGTGAATTGGGGCCTCTGTGTTCTCTTTTGTAGAATAATGTGTCCACACATATTTCTTGCATAGCTAATGATGAACAGAAAGTTGCAGAAAAGGATGCAAAGCAAAACGCTGTCTAAAGTGAAAGTAACTATTCTTAAACCATAAAAGTAATACATGTTCATTATAAGAACATTTGGGTTTATTTTACAACTATATAAACAACAGACATAATTTAATATTGTATTTCTCTTGCTTCGTTCCCTTTAACATCTTTTGTTATCATATAATCTCCATAAATGCATTTTAATGGCAGAGTAAGATTCTGTTAATGGTTTTACCATACTTAACCATTACCTTTCATTTCAACATTCAATTTTCTCATATTCTTAGTGCCTCCTGCCTATATTTAAATTATTGATTTAGGATATAAATATCAAAGACAGTTACTGTGTCAAAGAGTGTGGACACTTGATATATAATGCCAAATTATTCTTCATAAGTGCTGTTGCCAAATCAATGATAATGTTCATTTCATTATATTCTTGCCAGCCGTGTTGACTGAGGTGGTTTTGGTGGTGGTTCTTTGGGGGCGGGTGCCTAATGAATATCTAATGAATGTTTGAGAAGATGTCTATTCTCTATTTACCAAGTACAAAAGTATTTGTAGTGTATGTATATGGTTTATGTGTATGACTTGTCAAATTACTATTAACATATTCTGTAGCCGTAGATAATGCATGAAAAAACATAGTTCAGTGCCACTCACATAAGAAGTGCCCAATAAGTGTTGTTATTTTTGTCTATTTGATTTATCACTTTCTAGAAGTATGTTGAAGTGTCTCTCTGTGATTGTGGATTTGTTGTCTCTCTTTGCACTTCTCAGAATACTTTTTTTTATGTATTTTGAAGTTATTGTTAAATGTGTAGATTCATGATTTGTAGTGGAATATTCTTTTATCAATTTTTAAAAATTGACCTTTGTCTCATAATGCTTTTCATATTGAATTCTATTTTGTCTGCTATTAAGTATTTCCACTCCTGCTTTTTGTAACTTTACTTTTTTAAATATGAAATGCATGTACACAGTATAGGCAAACATATAAAATAAAAAGGTTTTCTTCACCATCCCCTAGCTTCCCAGTTCCTCTTTCAGAGATAGACACTGTAACTGTTTGTGTGTTTTCATTTTTATGTATCATATGAAATGATACATTCTGTGCCTATGCAGACATATATAGACACACTTTTTCTTTCTTTACAGAGTGGCACGTTACCATTCTATGCTTTTTTTTTATTATTTACTACATGTTAGAGATGGTCTCATATCAAAGCACATAGAATCTCCTTCATTCTTTTTAAAAGCATCATATTAGTCCATTGTATAGATTAATTATAATTGATTCAACTGGTTTTCTATTGATAAAACATTTAAATCCAAGATATAGATATCTAGGAATGATAAGCTTGATGGGACAAGCTTTCTTTCTGTTAGCATTTGCCTATGATACCTATATTTTAATTCTGTGTCCTTTTGTTTAGTTATATCTCATGTCAGATTTTGTCTTACCCAATCTGAGAGTTTTTATCTTTTAGTAGGTAAATTTAACCCATTTATATTTTTAATGACCATATTTTATCTTTTATTTATAGTTGTATTTTTTTATTTTATTCCTTTTTAACTTTTTATTGGATCGGTTGGTTTTCTTTATTATATTTTTCCTCCTAATGTTATTTGAAAATTATAGTTATATCTGTTCTTCTAACAGTTGCCCTTAAAATGGTAATGGCCATTTGAATATTCTATATCTCTTGTATATCTGCTGTCCAATATGGTGGCCACTAGCTACTGAGCACTTGAAGTGTTGCTAGTGTGACACAAGAACTAAATATTTAATTTTATTTAATAATCACAGTGTTTAGGAAATTTGTTTGCTGAACTCGGCAAACTTGATAATCATGAGAAAAGAAAATAGTATAGGCTAAAACCAAAGAGTGTGCTTCTCCAGAACAGCTACTTTTACGGATTATTCCTGTCTTCAGTTTCTTCAGGTAAATAGTCTTGCTCCCAAGTCCACATGGATCAACTGACTGGTTTCCTTTCTTCCTTCTTTCCTTCCTTCCTTTTGAGGGGAGGCAAGGAGGAAGGATAGCTGGGCTAGGTGAAACACCTCCATAAAATTTCCTTAATAGCTCAAAGCACTTAGTCATTCCAGTGAAGAGTTGTGTGTTCTGTATGATACTTCAGATAGGGCACTTCTGTACCAGTTAGTAGAGTAGTTTCACAAAAACATGACTTGCAAACTCCTTAAAAATGAAAACTAGTCTATGCACTTAATTTAAGGAGCATCAGTCAAGGTTTTAGACACACTCAGTCAGGATTTTAGACGCACTCAGACACACTCAGTCAGGATTTTAGACGCACTCAGGGTAAGTATATGTTATCAGCACAAAAATTCATTTCCTGTTCCTGGAATCAGCATAAAATTTTCATTGATACTTACATCAACGTTCACAGTGTGGTAATCTAAATTGGTGGGTAACCAGGTGTTATTGCCTTCAGAAAAACCAGCATTTGAGCTATTGTCCCACTGCATTGGTGACTTTGAGAGAAGGGTATCCTGTGTCAAAAGACCATAAAGAGAGAACAGTGATCTGGGTTATTAAAATAAATGTAATTTGGCCATGAACTATTTCATAATTATTTGTCTATATTTCTTTGCTGGTACTTATATTCATTAGCATTCATAATAAAAAGGCCTTAACGTGAATTATATAAACCTAGTTTCACACTTTTAATTGGAAAATGACATTCTGATTTTAAAAAGATAGTATACTAACTGAACTTTGATACATGCTTGAAATCTTTGCTGCTTTTCCCGAAAAATGAGTAATGTAGGATTTCAGAATGTGCCATTACCAACTCATTCTACTGTTATACAGTGATGGTGAATTCACCTATGCGGCCATTTGCTTTTCCCGAAAAATGAGTAATGTAGGATTTCAGAATGTGCCATTACCAATTCATTCTACTGTTATACAGTGATAGTGAATTCACCTATGCGGCCATGAACAAATGAGCCTAAATTCTGTCCTCTTTTATCCGGCCTGGTTAAGCCTGGTTATTTATTGCACACAGATTTAGGAGCTGAAATAGAAAAGGTTTCAGTTTGACCAAATATTAAGGAAATTGGATCTCATACAATTGAAAGCTAACCATAAATTATAGGTTCAGGATCATTCATCTACCCAGCAATGCAATTATGAGATCCGTAGCCTCAAACAAAAACAAAACAAAAACCACTCAAGTCTGAGGCTGTGCATCACATTTGTCAACATAAAAGGAATAATCTTTGCACTATGGACAAGCGAGATCCAGCAATACAGACAAGCGCTATAATAAATGTTCTAACTCACATTTCAGGTAGAGGGCAATGGATAATATTCCAAACTCAAAATACTGGTTTTCAAAGTTTAGTGTGCCTAAGAATCAGCTGGAAAACAAGTTTAAAATGCAGATAATTGGGCTCTCTATGCAGGGAATTCAGTTGTGTTGTCTCAGGAAACAACATTTTTAACAAGCTCCCCAGCCAAGAAAGCTGTGAATTCTCACTTAACAATAAGAAAAGTAATGATTTTCAGCTGTGGACTAGAAATAGTAATTCTCTGATTTGACAAAAACAAGTATATGGTATGGTACACAGGTAAATTTTAACTAACTTACAACATCATAGCTTTCATTGATATTGGTGGCTAAAATATTTCCCATTCCTATTTCTTCTCCATAGTAAGTTATGGGAGTTCCAGGAAGTGTCAAAAGAAGCATGTTCATGATGTTGACATATTCTTTCCCCAAACGAGAAGTGAGCCGGGCTCTGTCCGATCCACCGATCTGAAAGGGAGATATTTTTAAGAACACAGCTCTATACACAGTTTTCTGGAAGATTTATCCTTTTTCACAAAAAGTTCACCAGGCAGAAGAATATTACCTAGGGTACCTTGGCATCAGCAAGCCTGGATTTGAGTCCCAACTCTGCTACTTGCTACATAACTGACCATTATGATCCACAAAACAAATTTACTTCACAATGACATTACAAATAAGAAAATTTATGACAGGAAACAAAAATGTTTCCCCCATGGAGAGCAGGACACAGAACAGGTGGAAGGGACAGGGTGGGAAAAAGACTTCCAATGTGTGTGGGACTTTTGACCTATTAAAAAAAAAAAAATGAAATAAAGACAAATCAACTTTTTATAAAGAAATATACATTGTCCACAAGGAAATTTTGCAAAGTTCCTATGTTGTGTTCTAATTACATATTATAACATCTAGTCCTTATTTTAGAGTTTATTTAAATCGCCTTATTTAAATTTCCATATACCACAACTCAGTCTCACGTGCATATGCTGAGCATGGCACTTAACAGCTTAAAAAGGATTATCTCCATTTCAAGTCGGGATAGGAGGCCTTTCAACCAGCCTTTGAATTTGAGTCTGAGAAGAGGAACTTGGTTGCTACAATTCAGGAAAAGGGAGGCTGCTTTTTTTTCCTTTAGACATACTAAAACTACCTTTGCAGTTATTTTTTATAGACCATTGTAAAGTATTTTTCTATTTTTAAGGCCAGAAAATTAGGTCAAATTTTGCCTCCATTTATTCTTTTCATTATCTTAAGAACATCTGATAAGAAACTGTGATTTTTAAGCCTTCTAAACTTAGAGCACTTTCTTTTTCAGAACTGAAATCAAGAAATATTTATTTCCATTGATTATGCTCACTAGGAAGCAAACTTAATTCTTGGTATAACTTCAGTGCTGATCTGGGCAGAGTCTTTTGGACCTTTTTTTTTTTTTTAAAGTATTAACATAAATGTTTGTTTCTAAGAGTGTTTTGATTTTTTAAATATTTTTAGTGTCAAGAAAGATGACCAAGACATGACATACTGGGTCACCACTGGACAGTTTCTCATTGTAATAAACCCAAAGACTAGCCTAATACGAGGCCATGTCTAAGAGTTAAGAAACAGATTTGGATCTCAATCAATATTCTCTTCTTTCTAAATCTGATAAAATTCAGTAACTTCCAGTAAGACTCTCTTAATAAGCAATTCTCATCACTCAAAATTTACAGTATAGTTCGCAGCAATGGATAGAGATCACGGCCTCTCATAGGCTGAGAGGTCCCAGTCACCTATGATACCCAAAACGTTCCAGTATGTGAAAAGAAAAGTGCTAAAACTACATTATAAAATTTAGAAGGAATAATTTATTCAAGCAAAACAGCTGGATCTCTGAGCATCAAGCTTTGTGTCATTTTAACTTACCCTTATTTCGTGCCCCTCCCCTCATCCATGATAGCCATGAAACCCAACAGTCTTGCAACCATAGTGGCTGTGAAAACCAGCACCCCAGCAGCCACGGGAGGGGCGGAATAAGAAGTCACCTAAAGCTTCTCCCTTGAGAACTCACTATCTGACCTCTCTAGCAGCTTGGATTTGGGTGGTTTTTGTTTTTGTTTTTGTTTTTTTCTCCTTTATCTGATCTGAGTCAGAGCTGTGTAAACAGTCCTATCCCCACGGCATTTGCCAAAAATCAACCAGCAGCAGTTGTCTAACGATATACCTGCCTGAGGTGGTAGTACCAACTGGGCCGAAACAAGGACTGACCACAATGCTTAAAAGGCTAGGGAATGAGATGTCCATAAAGGGTTCTGACATATTCCTAGAATCTAGAAGGCTCCATCCATGTACAGGGCTATACAGATGCCCAGGGAAGACCTGAGAAGGCTCTGATCTCTCGCCTCTGGCTAACTGTGAATCTGTGCAAACAGAAAGCAGAAAGCGAAGATTAAAGCAGAATTGTAAACTGCCTCCCAGAGTGTTGAAATCATTCCCCAATAATACGCACATAGCCCCTCAGCAAAGGCTGGGAGACTTACTGTTTCGAGGCATTTAAGGAATCTCTTTCCAATCGTTACGTGACTAATAAGATGGCCCAGCAGAGACATTAGTGGCCACACAATGGAAAACACAGATTTTGGAGGATTGATCCAAGAAAGTCACTAAATAAACAAACAGCAACAACAAACACTGGGAAGAGGAGAATGTGATTTCCAGAATTTCCACATTATGTTTTTTAAAATACCTAGTTTTCAAAACAACAACAAAAAGAACACAAGACATGTAAAGAAACAAAGTATGATCCATACATAATGGGGGATAAGCATTTAATAGAAAATATGGCTGAGGAAACCCAAACGATCTTACTGGACAAAGATTTTAAATCAAATATTATATGTTCAAAGAACTAAACTATATCTAAAGAATTTAAAAGAAAGTATGAGAACAATGTCTGATCAAATAGATACTATCAATAAAGAGAAATTCTGAAAAAGAGTCAAATGGAAATTTCAGCTGAAAAGCACAGTAACAAATGAAAAATTTACTAGAGTGGCCTGACAGATGTGAACTGGCAGAGGAATGAGCAAACTTGCAGACAGATCAAGATTATCTAGTTTGAGACCCAGAAAACGAATGAAGAAAAACGACAAGAACCTGGTCAAAAGCTGGGACAGGACTACATCACTAAACAATCACAAGAGAAAGGTGACGGTCACTATGAGACAAACATAGACCTTGTTTGAGATGTGACTATTCAGCATGCTCACCAGCACCAGATGTGCTGAGCTGGACATGAGGACTTACCATCCAGTTAGGCCATTTTCCTTCTGGTATGTGTTCCATCCAGGATGTGATAACCTCAAACACCCTGTCCCCAGAAGGAGTGTCTAGCCTAGTGAGGTAGTCGTTGAAGGGGAAATCTGCTTCTTGAATAAAAGGCAACCCATAATACATCACGGTATTGTCAATGCTGTCTCCATAGGCTTCAGTCCCCATGAATCTGTAAGAGTTGGCAGAGTGCAGTGTCTTCAGGGCCTGTCAGAAAACTGGAAAAGTGCTGCTGTCTGATTAACAAGATGGGAGTGGGGTGGATGCGCACACTGTTAACCATGTTAGGCCGGGGCTCACGAGGAAGCACACGCAAGCCAGGTGACCGAGAAACGAGAAACGACATACTGGGTCACCACTGGATAGTTTCTCATTGTAATAAACCCAAAAACTAGCCTGAGGCCATGTTTAAGAGTTAAACACATTTGGATCTCAATATTCACTTCTTTCTAAATATGACAAAACTTCCAGGAAGACTTTCTTAAGTCTCATCAGAGTTTACAGTATATGTGTGCATATTAGGTAGGAAGATTTTCCTTTTTGTCTATTATCTTTCACTCAGCACTACCTTTCTGAGAATTATCTATGCAGCTTCATGAATCAGAAAGGTCTTTATTTCTGAGTAAATACAGTTCAGCATATAAATAAACAGATATGCAAAAAAAAAAGTTTTCCTGAAAAAACTTCCCCTTATATTTGAATCCCTGTGAATTCTCACTTTATTATTGAGGTGCATTCAGTTAACTGAAAATTCAGGGAAGAAACACTGGCCCGAAATGACCCGCATCAATGCTGGCTCTAGCTATTTGAGACACTACGTTAACGGGTAACTTCATAGTATACGGAGCCCAAATGTTTCAGTTCCAATCCCATCTCTGCCATTACTACACATGTGACCACTGCATGCTTAGAATCTCAATTTCTTCATCTGTAAAATGGGGATAGTAATCAGAAGACCTCTTTAGAGAGGAGAAATTTCTTGTAACTCCTTTTCTATTGATTGGATTGGGTGATTATGTAAACATAGTAAGAGAAGTTCATTTATTATGCGCTAGGCACTGTTTTAAGTGCTTCATATACATTATTTCATGTACTCTCACAACAGCTTTATAAGGGGGTCACTATCACCTTTTGATTGATGAGAAAACAGAAATGTTAATTAACCAGTCCAAGGTTGCCCAGCCATCTTGGGCCCATATAATTCCAAAGCTGTGTTGCTAACCATTGTGATCTACTAGCTCACTGTACAAGGATACTAACAGGTCAAATAATCATAATAAAAAAAATAATTAATGGCTAACATTTAGATAATATGTTACCTTTCAATTTTCACAAAATTCCTGTGAAATAAGTATTGTGGTTAGCATCCTTTTACAACAGCGGAAACTGAAAATCAGCAAAGTTAAGCAATCTGAGAGAATATACCAGCCCCTGGCCTGAGTGATAACACACTGTAATTCTGCAGGTTTGTTAAATTATAACTTAAACCTCTTGAGAATGGAGGTGAGAGAGAAACTGCTGCACCTGTGAAGCACGGACGTGTGCCCTTGGTTACCTGTATCTCCCAGGCTCCCTGCTGTACTGGTCCATTATATGTCGGAAGTTCCGGACAATGTCATGCATCCCCACCTGCGTGGTGGTGAAGTCGTGGTACAGCTCTGAGTACTGTGTGACTGTGTCCTTCGAAAACAGGACAGCACGGTTACCATCATGTCACATGTTAAATGCCCACAGCTGGTCTTAAGTGAATATGGACTGTCCCTTCAGATGGCTCAAGCCCACAAACGCTGCTCGAAGATGGTCCTAGGACTTTTCATTGCTCAAGGGGTTTTATGGCTGAAGAACATTCGTGACTATTAGTATGGTTAAATTATTAACTATAAATCTAGTTTAAAAAATTCTGACTTCGCTTGATGCTTGAATTATTAACTATAAATCTAGTTTAAAAAATTCTGAGTCTATGGCCATGCCACCCTGAACGTGCCCAATCTCATCTGATCTCGGAAGCTGAGTCGGGCCTGATTAGTACTTGGATGGGCGACCACCTAGGAATACCAGGTGCTGTAGGCGTTCAAAAAAATAAAAATTCTGAATATTTAAACATTGATAACAAATGTATTTAACAAAATCCTCCTCCTAAACATTTAATTGTCTTAAATGCTTCAGACACTTTTAAAGGCAAAACAAATTATCTTAATCATTATAGAGCTCATTATTACACCTATATTTGCTCACAATATTATTAATATCATGCACTTAAACTTGTTTCTTTACCACTTCTTTATTTTTACCATTATACTTTCCCAGGTTTCAGTAATTTTTCCTGATATTCCATGCCTTTCTGGGGTTACAGTAATTTAGAATCCAAAGAAAAGATTATGCCTAACACGAGCCAAGGTTGTAAGTCCAGGAATGGACATGGACAGGCTGGACAATCCAAACCAGAGCTGCCATCCATTTGTTGAGTCCCCCACCCCCTTTTATTTTTAATAAGTGAACTTTCCTTTCTAGGTCAAGTGAAGTTTTTGGAATCTTAGATCTCTTTCTGAAATTACTTGTTAAATTTTTCTTGGATAGCACATAAAACTCATTGTTCTGATCATTTGTCATGACTAGAAACATAACCCTGATATCTCATAATTAGCAGGGTTATTTTGAGATTTCTTCTCCAAGGATAAGTGCTTCTGCTTCTTTGGGACAACTGGTTAATTCATCACTTTTCCTTTCATTTTTCCTTTTTATTGAAAATCATGTGTTAAAAAAATGGCTTGATCATAATAACCTTTGGTTCATGATGTGCTCTCATAATTAGCCCATGCATGGCCAACTTCTTTTTAGTTAACTGATTTGTTTTAATGAAGTTAAAAGTACCCATAAATCTATTACTCTGGACAAAAGCTACAAGCTTGATAATAAAGTTATAATCATATGAGTTTCACTTTAGTTGCTTAACTTTATAAAAAAGGGCATCATGCTATATATAATTTTAGATTTTTTCTGCTACACATTACATGGCTAATAGCAGATTTACTCATATTGGTCTGCATTGCTATAGTTCATTTATTTTGACATTCCATTGTGTAAATATACAAATACATTATTTTGGAATGTATTTTCGGACTATTATCTACCTGGCCTTGGAAACAGAGTGACTATTGAATGGTGGCCAACCAGAGAAATAGAGAGGCTTGTGGGGGAAGGTTGAGAACCGCTGGTGTAGAACCACAAAGAGCCAGATTCTGTAGCAAGATAGGCTTGGTTTGTAGTCCCATTAGTCACCTCTGTCACCCTGATAAGTTAATTTCTCTAAGATTTACTAAATGAGGATCATGAAATCACTCAAAAGATACTGAGAGAGTTAAGTGGAATATCCCAAGTAAACAGCACGTAGTGTACAGTAGACACTCAGCAAGTGTTAGTTCCTTTCCACCTGTGTGTTCTGTAATGACTACGAAAGTGCCTGGGGGGATTTAGGCCCCCTCATTTGAGCTCAGGTGACATGACAGAATTGCAGGGAGTAGTTGTGGCCCTTGGTGGAGTCCACACTGTGCATGGCCTCAGAACCCTTGTCACCAAAGGATTCAGGGGATCCCTCACTCCTGAAGGAACCCGTGGAAGGAAACATCTGGTCACATGCATTTGAAACTCCTCTGTAGTTCCTAAAGAAAATGATTCAAAGCACTTCCTAGAGACAGGACAGAACTCATCTCTGATAACTGATGTTTGAGACAAAAAAAGAAAACACTCGGATGACATTGTCAGAAAAAGGAGTAAACTATTTAAAACTTTACCGGGATTTGGGTCTCAGTCACTTGGATCTCATTTCTTAGATGCTCTGCTTCTAGAAGAAATTTAACAGCCTCAAAACTAAAGCCATCAACACCCTTTGCAAGCCAGAACTGTATAATTTCCTAAAACAAAGAAGCAAAATATTTGGTTACATTAACTATACATTATTATCATAATGTTTAATATAGGTTTTGTCTGTTAATAAGTAAAACAGACATCTCCACATGAGACATCTCCACATATAAAACATGAACAGCACTCTGTATTTTTATCTATCATAGCAGTGTCTTAGAATAATGAGTTCTCAACTTCATTTATGGACTCCCATACATCCCTCATATTTGAATTCAGAATGTTACATTTGTAACTCATATTAGGAGCATGTTGCCAAAGTTTAAAGAATCCACTCAAAATGAAAGAATGAAAGCTAGGACTCAGGAAAAACAGGGAGCATACCTCATTGCCCTCACGCCCAATTCCTTAGAGGTCACTCCAAACAGAGAACATAAGCAATTAAGCACTTGGTCATGAAGGGCCCTTCCACCAGACGGAGATTCCTGAGGGAAAGTCTGCAGTGTTCACTTGTTGCCTTTGCCTCTGACACAGCACCTGGTACTTAGTGAACCAGTCATGGAATGAAGGAAGTAGACAGCCCAAATGAGTCAAATATGATGTGATACTGTTGGGACTCTAAAGAAATACAGCATGTTCCCTGGCTTCGAGGCATCTACAGAATAGTTGGGGATGCATGAGACATGAGAGGGTTACCTCACTCAAGGTCAGGTGCAGTTCAACATATGAGAGGAGAGTGTTCTGTCTACAGGGCTGTTGGAACTCCAGGAAGATCAAATTTAATATGGGTGGACACTACCAGAGAAGGAAGAGCTACAGCTTGAATTTGGCCAGTGGGATTCCATAGGGAGTGAGGTCATGAAGGACATCATGCACTGTTTATGGGACAGCATGAGCCAACTACGGAGGAGAGACTGACTTGGCCTGTATTGGAACAGTTGGGAAGACCAGGTAATCTTGAGAAGCAGAGGACCTGCATCTCAGCTCCCCATCCCACCCTGACGCATCCACTCCCAGCTTAGCCTACTCCTGCATTGACCACAGGCTACCCTTCTGCAAAAGGACAGTGGTTCTCCCCCCGCCCCCACTTTCCCCTCTGTTCATCCCTTGCCGAGGGGAAAGTTTTACAGGAGTGTATTTATCACATTAGAACAGACCCACCTGTAATTCAGAGTACTAGAGTTAAGTAGCCAATTTTCACCTATTAAAGAGAACATACCTATAGATCCCAAATGAGGACTATCCCTAAAATCACTTGTTTGATAAAGCATTTCTTGTATCTGCCTGTGAATACGAGGTCCCTAAAGTGCTGCAGTTAAGGGTCTCAGAGGTTTCTAAGAGCTAAACGCAAGGGTTCATGCTATGGTTAATTCCCTTACCAAGCTTAAGCTTCAGGCCCCTCATTTGCACAGGCCCCTCCTATCCACCTTCTTTTCACCTTCTAAATAAACATTCATTTTTCTGTACCTAATTTTATACTCTTTAAGAAGACCCCACAAGAACAACTATCAGCAAGGATGTGGAGAAAAGGGAACTCTCATACATTGATGGTGGGATTGCAAATCAGTGCAGCCACTATGGAAAACAGTCTGAAGGTTTCTCAAAAAAATTAAAAATAGATATGCCTTTTGATCCAGCAATTGCACTTCTGGGTATTTATCCAAAGAAAACTGAAACAATAATTCGTAAAGATGTATGCACTCCTATGTTCATGGCAGCACAGTTTACAATAGCCAAGATATGGAAACAACCTAAATGCCCATCAACAGACGATCGGATAAAGAAGTTATGGTTCATATATACAATGGAATATTACTCAGCCATTAAAAAAATTAAATCCTTAACATTTGCAACGACATGGATGACATAGAGGTTATTATGCTGAGTGAAATAAGTCAGAGAAAGGTAAATACCATATGATTTCACTTATATGCAGAATCTAAGGAACAAAAAGCACAAACTAATCAAAAACAGACTCACAAATATAGAGGACAATCTGGTGACTGCCAGAGGGGAGGGGGCATTGGGGGGATGGAAGAATGGGGTGAAAGGTTAAAGAAGTACAAATTAGTAGTTGATAGTTGGTCACGGGGATGGGGAGCACAGCATAGGGAATGCAGTCAGCATTAATGTAATGGCTAGGTGGAGAGCTAGAGGAGAGAAAGAGCAATTAGGGGCGATCGTTTTATAAACTATGAAAATGTCTTGCCAATGTACTGTATACTTGAAACTAATAAAATTAAATTTTAAAAAAAAAGAGCCCAAATTTTTACAAGCTTCAGACCCCACACAACCCAGGCCCACCCCCAGGTGGCGCTGTTCTTTACAAGAGGGAACAGTGGAAGAGGATCAGGGTGGGGGTGAGGCACCAATAACTGTAATCCATCCAAGCAGCCTCTGACAAAAACGTGGAAAAATATTAAACACCAGGCTGTTGTAAACAAGCTTTTGAGCATGGATTTGCTAGAATAAAACTACTAGTTTTCTTCACAGGGTCCTTATTCATTTTGGAGTTCTCTGCATCGTCAACTATTGACCCAGCATTAAAGAATGAGAAATGGGTTTATGGCACTGGCAGGGGTTTCCACTTTAGTCAAGTAAGAGGTACTATCATTATTTGATGAAGCAAAACAGCAAAAGCTGGATGGTCATTTCTGAGAGTCATTTTAAATGCCGAGATTTTCACCCAGATAATCCAAAATTTGCTCTTGAAAAATATTTGCTTTGCGCTATGTATTCTCTTGACCAGGTGAGAAAAGAGAGCCCAGATTTTATTCATTAACCCTCTTTTTACTCCAGTTACTCTCCCAGCATGCCAGGTGTGGAAATGGGCACAGAGTCTGGTTCCACCAGGTCTGGGTGACCCATGTAGGTGCCATGGGACTCTGGGGACAGTGCACTGTGACCCCAATTCTTGTCTAACTCCCAAGACATCACACAGTTCTGCTTTTTCATCAGGCACCTGTTCATTCTTTACTCCTTAAACTCGGTGCTATGAATAAAAAATTTATTTCAACATTACTGATATCCAAATTCACAAAACCTTGAGGCAAACCTTTCTTTTTAAGATGACTGGAGTTACTGGGTCCATTTACATAAAAAGCCGAGTTTGGGAAATAGAGAAGCTCTGCTCTTAAATCTGATGATCTATAAGACATCCTCTTGATAATGACAGAAACCCCAGGTTGTCTATCTCAGGAAAGAATGAAAAAGTATAGGATACTTCAGAAGTACAGAGAGAAAACTGTATAAACTGTATTCTCCATTTATAGAAAAAGGAAAGAAAACTGACTGTAGTGCTGCTCAGAAATCTTGGTAAAATTCTTTGCTATGTTCCCCAGGAGCAGGGCATAGAGGAAGATGACAGTCTCCAGAATCTGAGCCATCGAGTACGATCTCCCCCACGTCCAGCTGCATGAGTTAGGGCATCACCATGACCTCCCTAAACCTTAGTAAAAGCTCCTTCTCTGTACACCGTGTCCCAGCCACTATGGAGAACAATATGGAGGTTTCCATACTGCACAACTCCTAGCACTTCTAAGATGCCATAACCCATGCATTCTGTCTGCTTGAAACACTCCCACCATGCCTCTTCCCTGGCTCATTTGCATTCATCCATTAGGTATCATTGCTTCCTCTGTAAACCTTCCTCACTCTCCCTCACTCCATGCCCAGGTTAGGTACCTGCCTTGTGTCCTACTTCCTGTTGTCATGGCCACTCAGCACACTTTAGTGTAATTGCTTGTTTGCCTACTTCCCCCCTTCAGAATATAATTCTCATGATGGCTACAACATGGGTCTAGCTCACCAACCATCATACCCCTTGCATATGGTCAATACGAAATGCATATTGTTCAATGAGCGAACGGTTTATAATAAAGTGCCTGGCACATAGGAGGTGCAATAAATGGCACAGTTATTATCATCAAGCACAGAGCTGGGTTATTAAGAAGGTAGTGAGAAAATTTTATTTTGGATTGAACTGATTGTCTCCAGAAATACTGTGCTCAGTAGGGGTGGAGCAGAACTGACATCTACACTATGGATTCCATCTTAAACTGGCAGGGCATCTGGGCTTCCTGTCTCCAGCTGCTCTGAACATACTAACTCCTCAGGATCTCCCACTCCAGGGCTCAGAATTCCCTCCCACATGGCAGGCCCAGGGTCGCACTGAGCCCTAGATGTGTGGCTGGGGCATCTAGAGTCTCCTCCTTCCTGTGCCACTAACCCACTGGGTCACTTCGCCTCTCTGGGCCTCATTTTTCTTGTTTGTCAAGTAAGATTTAGAAGGCAAGTAAAACCAAAGTGATTGGGAAAGTATAAAACATATATAAGTATATAAGCTCCCACCTTCTCCAATAAGGTTTCTTGAACTTTTTAGCTGAAAACATTGAAGCCCAGAGAGGTTCTTGGCAAAGCCAAGGCCCCTGACGACCAGTGCAAGGGGGAGGGCAAAAAAGAGGAGAGAGGAGGGTGTCTGAATGTCCCCTGCGTGCCAGCATTCCACTGTGCAGATAATCCGAAATTCGATGGGAGCCAGGAGGAAGAAAGCTCAGGCTCTTTGAGTGCAAATTGGTATGCAAGCAGTAGTCATTCCAAATGCCTCCCCACCGCAAAATCTCTTGGTTGCAAATTATTAACCTGCTTAACTACTGCAGAGATCAGCCCTGCTGGGGGATAGGAGGGTGTCAGAAGTCCCTTTCACGTAAAAAGTCACTTTCCAGGAGCAAAGAGACTTCCTTTCTTGGCCTTTCTTATTTTCTTCTAATAGTAAATCTTCTAAACCTGCCTTGCAAATAATATCTATACTGCTCAACTGGAGGTAGGAATGATTCATGCCAAGAGGGACTGCATTCTGCAAGACTAGTAAACAAGGCTCCTATTCACGCACTCCACTATTTGCAGGCACAAGAGAACAGCACGGGTAGCCAAAATTCATTAATGTACTGGCTGGCGCATTTCGGCAAAATTTATCACACTTGTCTAAACATCTCTAGACAATCCATTACTATTGCCACAAGGAGCCTGGAGAAACCCACTGCCTGATAAACCAACTGGATTATACTCACATTCATGAATTTCCAACCGAATATCTCCTTGAAAAAATTGTGTAGGATAAGTAAAGCACAGGGAGAGAAATAGAGTGCCTCAACTCGATGTGGAGCTGTTAAGAGAAAGGACTCTGGACTCTCAATGCCTCGGTTTGAATCTTGCTCCATCCCTCCCCATGTGGGGGACTTTACTTTTTAATGGTGATGGTTGCGCAACTCTGTGAATATACTAAAACCACTGAATGACACACTGAAAGAGGTGAATTTTATAGTACATGAATTATATCTCAGCAAAGCTGTTATTTAAAACACAAAGCAAGAACAAACTAAGGGGTGAGGGTGCCTTAGTGATTCCAGCACGGCAGCCTGCATCTTCTCCATTTGGATGACATAGTAAGCTGTAGAAAGGGACCCACACCTCTCTGTTCTGGTCTGGTCTGGTCTCCTCTGCCTATATCTCAGAGCACTACCCCACTAACCTAAATTCTTGCCCATTATAGCCACAGCAGCAGCAATAATGATGACAATAATGACACCACAATAGACACAGGTCTATTGCGAATTATGCATCAGGTGCTGTTGGAACCGCCACCGCACGGGTGCGAGCCTGTCACCTGAGTCACCGCAGGAAAGCTGTGCACAGGCCACAGAGGGATCTTCAGTAGCTGTAGCTCAGCATGTACCTCTTACAAGAGCATTCAAGGCCCTGTAGGATCACCCCATCTTTTTGCACCTTGGCTCCCTAAATCTCTCCCTCATTTTATTTCAGCATACTGGTAGGGTTGCCAGATAAAATACAGGACAGCCAGTTAAGTTTTAATTTCAGATAAGCAATGAATAATTTTCTAGGAGCATTATGTCCCAAATATTGCATTATTCATTGTTTATCTGAAATTAAACTTCAACTAGGTATCCTGTCATTTTTTCAGGTGACCTGTGCACTGGCCTCCAGGTCATTCCTGAAACACATGAAGCACAGTCTCCCCTGGAGATCTTTGCATTTGCTCTTCTCTCTGCCTCAAATCCTCTTCTCCCAGATATTCACATGGCCCCCTTTCAAAATCCAGGCTTTTTTCTAAGCAGGACTTCATCTTAGGGGTGTCTCTGAGCTAACTTCTCCCTGGCACTCTGAGGTCCCTTCCCCTTAGTGTTCACTGCCACCTGACATGTTGTTTATTTGGATGTTAACTGTCTCCCTTCTCTTCGGTGTACTGTGACCTCCTTGCTTGTATTCACTGTTACATTCTCAGGGCTTAGGACAGGACCTGCCATGCAGCAGACGATATGTTAGTAGTTATTGAGTGAACACAGAAGTGTTGTGTATGATTATCTCATCCGATGTTCAAAAAGCCCTATGAGACAAACACTGCCATCAACTATGTTTCGTAGATGAGAGATATGAAAAGCCAAAGAACTCACCCAGAAGCCCATGCAAACAGTGGTGGGGCTGGGTCCAGACACCGGAGCCGGACCCTGGAGCCCACGTCTGGCCCACCTTACTGCACCAGCACATTGTTGCAGGCAAAGGGGGGCAACTCAGAGCTAAGGTAGCAGATGTTTCTGCCTCCCTCCAATTTCGGTTATTTTGGGTTAGAGGAAGGAAGGCACCACCAACATGTCTGAGAGTCTATGTTTGCATCAGACACTCTAATCCCAGAATTTAATTACACTACTGGATTTTGCTTGCGCAATTATTGTTCAACATAAAGTGTATTGAATAATCACTTAAGGACCCATGTCATGGAGAAGTCTGTGTGGGTCTATACTCACTTTTATTTCTTCTTGAACATCAGGATTGCGGAAATTTAAATCAGGTTGCTCTTTTGTAAACTGGTGAAAATAACATTGGTTTCGTATTTCATCAAAGTGCCAACTGGAGTTTCCATATACACTTAACTAGCAAACAGAAAATAGCAAATCAGTTACTTGGCACTATTCATATGAAGATATTTCCCATAAAAAAAAAAAATGATAATTGCCATCCCTGGCCCCATGCAGGTTGAATGCACAAACTCCAGAATTTTCCTTCTAGGGAAAGCACTAGATAAATTAATTCCCTAAAATGCCACCCACTGGCCTAATGCCCCACAAAGGTGGTTGTGATGTATTTCTACAGTAGCCGTTGTTCACAACAACCACAGTAGCAAATCAATGCTCTCAATTGCAGGACAAGGCCGACTTAAGGAGCAGACACTTTCGGCATATTTTCTTGAACATTTTGTCCAGGCTCTGGACTCCTGTTTGTGAAGAAAAGCAAATGATGGTCAATTTGGGAGAAAAACACATTTCATTGGTCTTAGAGTTTGAATCCAAAAAGAGTGAATATTTAAACTGCATTCTCAAAAGTATTAGAACCATTCCTTAAAAATACTACCAGTTTTGGGGAATAAAAGAAATCTAACAACTTCAAGTATTGGTACCCAGCAGTGTTGGACACCGACACTGATTTCCTCTTTCTAGAAACGCTCACTCTGTGATACTACTCTCCTGGTTGACCCTCCATTTCCTACCACTCCTTCTCAGTCTCCTCAGAGGATCCTCAAATACGAGAGTTCCTCAGGGCTCCATCTTGGGACATCTGTTCATTTCATGCTCAGGAGAACATCTGGACAGCATTTAAAAGCTAGGGATTTGCATACGTCTTTTTTTCATTTTTAGTTGGAAGACATAGTCACACTGGGCCTACATTCCCCATAGTTAACACCTGGCTGAAGCTAAGTAGTTGCTGCTGTCTTTCGAGGAAACATATTCTCACCAGGTCAGCTCAGGGCCCACCTGGGCACAAACTGGGATAAAATATTTACAGTAGGTAGAACCAAGAAAATATCGGTACCCAGAATACAAAAAGAACTCTATAGATCTATTCCAAAAGGACAAGCAATTCAACAAAAAGTTGGGGATAGAAACCATAAACATAAAATTTGAAGCTCAAATGAATAAATATACAAAAAGATATTTGACATTATTAGCAATTAGATAATTATTATATTAATAATTAGATAAATGTAAAATTAAGATTTCAATGTGATAACAATTTATGTTCACTTGGTAAAAATGACAAAGTCTGGCAGTACCAGCAAATGATAAAATTATGAAATTTTTTTATACTGCTAGAGGGGATATAAATTGGTACAACCACTTCGATAATCAATTTAGCATTATCCTGTAGAGTTAAGCATGCAGTATCCTATACTGAGCAATCTCACTACTAGTCATTTTCCTTAAAGAAGCTCTTATACACTTACCCCAGGAGAAATAGGTCAGTGAGAATGTTTACAATGGCATTATTGATAATAGTAAAAAAAAAACAAAAAACTGGAAACAGCCCAACTGCCCATCAGTTGAAGAGTGGACAAGTAAATCATAGACTGTTTTCACTATGGAATACTATGAAACAGTGAAAATGTATGAACCATAGGTAACAGAACTATGGATGAATATTAAAAACAATGAGTGAAAAAAGCTAATTACAGAAGATTACATGTAGCATGATGAGTATCGTAAAGTTCAAACTAAATAATGCTTTTTTAAAGACGTAGCATATGTAGTAAAGCAAAACAAAAGCAAGACTTGGAAAACCCCAAGTTCAAGGTAGTGGTTACCTCTAAGAGGAAGGACAAGGAGGGACAGGAAGGAGATTCACAGGTAGTTTCGGCAGTGCTGGTAATGTTCAAGTTCTTAATTTCTGAATAGGTTCACTGATGTTCACTATATTATTATCTTCCTTAGCTTAGATATATATTATAAATATTTTAAACAATTTTTCAGTTATAATTGAATACAATAAACTGCACATATTTAAAGTGTACAGTTTGATCAGTTTTGACAGATGTATATCTCTCACCACAATCAAGATAGCAAACATATCCATCCTTTGTAATCCCTAATCTCACTCTCCCACTCATCCCTGTCTCCCTCCCATCCTTAAATGACAACTAATCTACTTCATGTCACTATAAATTGGTTTGCATTTTCTAGAATTTCAATTAAGTGGAATCATATAGTATATACTCATTTGTCTGGCTTCTTTCACTCTTCATGGTTATTTTGAGATTCATCCACTTTGCTGTGTGTATCAATAGTTCCTTTCTTTTTATTGCCAAGTAATAGTCCACTGTGTGGTTATAGCACCGGATGTTTATACTTCTATTATATATTACATATATTTTTTATGCATCAACCATTACATTATAACAAAAACACAACCTTGGCTACAGTGGAAAACTAATGGAGGAATAGAAAAACCAAACACCAAAAGAGGCAGCTATTATAGTCCCAAAGGCATGAGATGATATGGTTTAAAGTATAAACAGCAATTTTTAAAAGCAGACTGTAGAGTTGGGCTGACTAGATACAGCCCTTAGCCCTTGTACTAGCTGTGTGACCTTGAGCAAGGTACCTAATGTTTCTCTGCCTCAGTATGCTTGTCTACAAACGAATTAAAGCCTAACATAACATTGTGGAGTGCATTAAATGAATTAATGAATATAAAACGCTTAGCACAGAGCCTGGCATATAGTAAGCATTTAGTAAATGTTTGCTATTATCATTGCCATTGTAACAAATGGATGGATTGGGGAAAAGAAAAATTCGGGAGGTAAAACTGCCAGGACTTGCTGACGACCTGTTCACCAGGCTGCATATTAGCACCATTTGATGAACCGGGGATATGGGAGGTAAGGAAAATTACATAGTCAGCTTAGACACATGTTGATTTGGAGTGCTCTAGGTTCAAGTGAAAGTCGATGCCCAGGAGCCAGCCTGTTCCATTGTTTATGGGAAAGGTCAAGAAGAGAGGAGGAGTGACTGGAGTGGGGAGAGATGATCAAGAGTAACAGGCTCCACGGAAAGCAGGAGAGAACATCAACCAGAGCAGGAGGAGGGTTTGGCCTGGGACAGGAGTTGCCAGATAAAACACAAGACACTCGATTAAATCCGAGCTTCAGAGAAACAATGAATAATTATTCATATAAGTATGGCCTGTGCAATACCTTATAATAACAAAATATGCATTGTTTATCTAAAATTCAGATTTCATTGGGCTTCTTGGATTTTATGGGTAAATCTGGTAACCCCAGATAGTAGCGCATGGTCTCGGTTATAAACGAAGTGAGTATGAAGAGGGTGGGAATTAGGGCAGGCAGGTCTGTTGGCTTCTGTTCTCTCTTTTAAGTAGAGTTGGCTGCTGAAAGTGATAAGATAGGGAGAAGGCAGGTAGGATGTTTGAAGAGGAGGGAGGGCATGTCGATCTACTGGATTCAGTAAAATTCCCAAGGAGACTGGATCCCTCAGTTCAGGCGGGTACAGTGAATGTAGGTTACCTCCAGAGGCAAAACTTTGTTCAGGGGAAGAGAAAGTGGATGATTGGGTTCATTGGTGGCTAGGGTTTTGTTGGACAGGGGAGGCAAAAAATCCAAAAGGCAAAGGGGTTTGGAGATTGGCAAGACACGGAACAAATGGGACATTAATCCAAGTTGTATAAATTGAGAAGTGAGAGAAGGAGGGAAA